CTTTCCAGATTCTTTCTAGTGAGTTCTCTAGTGGCCGAATCCAAATTCACCTAAAAAAAAGAATAATAATGGATATTTATGAGTACATTTTAGATGTGATAAGGTAATAGATATACTCCAGTCAAGCAGCGCTCTCACCTCGCTAGGGGAATCGGCTTCAACGTATCGCTCAAATATCTTTATAGCGTTCACATTCATCTTGTCCACTGATGTCTGCATGAAATCCTCACAGGCTTCCCAGAATTCAATGTTCTCTTGACTGTACTCAGACTGTAAAAAGGAAGTGAAAGCCTTTCGACCATCTGAAAGGAAAGAATTTCAGTGAGACTCAATATACTGAAAAAATAATAAATTGCATTATATATTCAATAATATAATAATATAATATAATATAATAATGTCCGATTTACTATCAGAAACAGCCTCATTTTAGTATCATCAAGATACTACTATAGTTTTTGAATTTAATATTTATATATTCTGCTTTCAATGTTAATTTTAGTTAAAGTTTTAGTAATTTTGTTGTGTGTTTTTGTCATTTATATTAGGGTGTATTCACACCAGGAAAGTCCGCTAGTTCACTTGCTTTGGTCTGGACCAAATACAATGTTGATTTTTTTGGTTTAGTGCGGTTCGCTTTCACACTGCCCTTTTTGCAAGTGAACCAGAAACTGTAAACAAAACCACACGTGTGCTTAAGGTCATCCATTCATTAGTTCATCCATTCAACTGTACCAGAGTTTGTTTGGAAGCGGACCGAGACCACCTCTTCAGCTGGGTCTCGGTGCGGTTGTTTGGTCTGCACCCGAGTGCGATTGCTGTATTCACACCTGTCCAAAAGATCCGCAACAAGGGGGGAAAATAACTTGAGTTTGATTCAATCGAACCAAATAAGACAGGTGTGAATACACCCTTGGTTTTGTTGTTGTCTATTTATTTTTTTTATTTCTGTTTAATTTTTAATTATTTTAGTACATCAAGTTAAACTAAATTAATATGAGAAATAGAAACTAGCTGAAATAAAATTATTTTAAGTTTGTATATTTTATTTCAGTTAACATTTATTGTGATTTTTTATTTTATTTTTTTAGTATATATTATATTTTATTTTATATAAAATATTTTAGTGACTCTAATAGCCCTGGTCTGAAGACATTCAAATCTCCATTTGAACTCATTATTACTAGGGAGCGGATGCTGAGGAGGTTTTGGAAAGAAGAGGCCAGGACTTTGAGTCTGGGGGGATTCTCTAAAGACTGTCCTAGTGGTTGATGACCCCTGTAGCCCACCAGAGCAGAACACTCAAGCTCTTCAGGGGCCACCAGTGCAGTCTGCGGACACGTAGCACACACTCTGGGGCGTGAGAAAAATATGGTCTTGGCCTATCAGACTGACAGAAACATAGTCTCCTTTAACAGAGATGTTAATGAGGCCAAGGGCTCTTTGACAGCAAATACAAGGCCGAATAAACAAGGGTCAGTGCAGAAGTATCAGGCTTTCTCATTAAATCATTACTATGCTGCAGCCTGCTCATCAGTAACACATGCTGGTTTCTAAGATTTAATCAGGATGGTTGATTTTTTTATTTTTTTATTGCATAACTAAATAATGTTGACATTTACCTTCATTTTTGATCAGGTTGTTAAATGATGTTTTCCATTTCTCAATTTCAGCAAGAGGGACTCTAGAATCAGACGAAATAATTAATAAACAAAATATATAAATGCGACTGTAAATGTAAATAATATCAGATTAGCTTCAATAATGTTTAAATACTGTATTATCAAAATATGAAATATCTATCATATAAAAACATTTATTAACATAAATTATAAAATATTATTAAGTATAATATAATTTATATGATATGATATATGATATGATATGATAAAGTAAGCTTTGTTGGTCCAACCTTACCTGTTTACCACAGTGACCTTCTCTTTCTCCTTCTCTTTCTTCTTCTCCTTCTCCTTCAGAGACTTCTGCTCTTGAGGTGGATCTGGCTTTTGAAGCAGGAAGCCAATCTTATGCTTTATGTCTTTGGCGCTGTTGGAGAAAACATATAATTAATGAAACTTTTGGCTTTAGAGAATCAGTTATGTAAACTATTATGAAAAACAAAAGCTGGTTTAGAGGAACTTATATTTTGTGTTAAATATCTCTCAAACGAAATATATCACAGGCATAAAAAAACACCTTTTTCCATTACTCAAAGCAAATTGTAATATCTAGATACCCAAACAACTGCTTTGCTTTGCTCTCAGTCTACTTCAGAGTATACGGAGTATGAAAACATATATCATCTTGAGCGTTGAACTAAAAATAAGAATATCACCAATAATTTCCAATAAGGTAGTTCATACCTTTTCAAGCATGTTGCTGGGAGGGCAGCGAGACCTTTACACATGGTGCTGGTGCGTAATACAAATCCAACACTAGAGAAAAGAGTCTTGAGTGTCACAACGCAGGTCCTCACAATCTCAATGCAGTCTCCTCCTACAACTGTGCTTTTATACAGCCCCAGCCCTCACAACACAACAGCTAGCCAATCACAGCAGAGGCACAAATAAAGCAGACGCAAAACCAAGGTAATTTCCCAAGTTTATTAAAGGAAAGAAGTTTGTTGTACCTATAGATCACTTACAAATGTATAGTAAACATGTGATGGCGTTTTTGTGGTGTACTGTACTTTTCCTACACGTTTTGCATGTTTTCATGTGTTCATGTGTGCAATACAAAAAAAAGAAAGAAAAATAAAATAATAAATTAAAATAAAATAAATATGATTTCTTGCATCCGGAAGCCAAAATTCATGATAAAATTTGAAATTGAAAACTGTGACAAAATTGTTTTAAACTGTAGTAGAATTTATAGTGGTTAACTGTAATTTATAAAGCTATAAATGTAAATGCATATATTTTTATTTTACCCATGTAGTGTGCATTCTTTAGACTTGTTACACACGCCTGAATATATATTTCCATCCTATTGGTATAAACATCACTTAATTTTTCGTTTTTCTTTTTCAATGCAAATCATTTCATCTGCAAATGTCATGTTTTTCATGTCTGATTGACAACAAACTGACTCTGAACAAATAATAACAGTCCAAAATGTTTTTAAACTGTAGTAGAATTTATAGTGGTTAACTGTAATTTATAAAGCTATAAATGTAAATGCATCTATTTTTATTTTACCCATGTAGTGTGCATTCTTTAGACTTGTTACACACGCCTGAATATATATTTCCATCCTATTGGTATAAACATCACTTAATTTTTCGTTTTTCTTTTTCAGTGCAAATCATTTCATCTGCAAATGTCATGTTTTTCATGTCTGATTGACAACAAACTGACTCTGAACAAATAATAACAGTCCAAAATGTATTTGAACTCTTTGACTGACCTCCATGACACCATGCAGCCCCTAAGGTCACAAAAGCAACATTCTCTAAGTTGTCAAATATTTGTGGTCTCCATGCCCAGATTAATTTGTCCGTACCCCCTAGTGCCCTGACGAAAGGAATCTGTGGCAAGAAATAAATATTGCACATTAGGACTGCTACAAATGAAAATAAAACCCTGCTCAAAGCAACTGAACATTTTGTTCTGTCCAAGTAATAAATCTCAATAAAACCTTAAAGAAATACTTCCTTCATGTCAAGGCCCTTTTGTTATTTTCGAACTGATCAACTAAATCAAGACACAAATCTCCTCAATGGAAAAAAAGTATTTACTACAGTCTAAAAGGAAAAGGCAAAAGGCCAAATTCTGTAATGGTTTGGAGACCGGAACAGACTCCTAATCCCCGGCTGTAATGTAATAGCTGTCATTAGCCTGATTTACATATCAGATCATGTCAGGTCTATATTTAACAGAGTGCAAGATCATAAATTATCCTCTCGCAAAGGAAATGCACTTCATGTTGAATTTATAGGAGCATCGAAATCCTGCTAGCAATGATTTCATGAAAGAAAGACTGTAATGTAGTAATATTAGTAACATTTCACAATTACATTTGGAATTAGTTGAACACAGCATATTATAAAACACATCTTTATGAAAAATGTAGAAAGATCACAATAAACTCCACCAGTTTGCATCATCACATACTAACTTCATCCACAAATTATCTCTTCTCATCCTATCCATTTCAATCTGTTGACACATCCATGCAAAGTATTAAACCAATCCTATCAATAGTTCTGGTTAGTCAGATGACTAGAGAGATCTAAATACAAACTTCCGACTTCAGAATTTAACAAAAAAATTAAGCAGTAAGTCTATCAGTTCCAGTTCATTCAACTGCACCAGCTATAGGCCATATAAGGTGCGTATGAATGAACTATGGTTTAATCCAGGCCAAAGTGAGAATGTGATAACTAAGCTCATATGAGGTCATATTCAGGGGAAAAGTCACCTCCACCTTGTATTAGCCCACATTTTTCTTCTTATCATAAGTTACCTGGTCCCAGATGTGAGGCTGTGACTCAAAGCATGTGTGTCTTTCAGCTCCATTAAGCTTTAACTAGATATTGGAAACTTCAGAGGTTTTTTGCCGATTACACATTCAGTGCAGACTCCTGCAGATAAATGATTACTAGATTGCTAGATTAATCTGTAAACAGAAACAGAAACAATCTGACCACAAAATAAGTAAAATACTACTACTACCACTAAATAATACACTTTATTTATTTGTTTGTTTTAACCCTTTATCACTTTAAAATTTTATTTTGGGAAATTGTATTTATAACATTATTGACAATATTAAATCATTATTATGATGATATAAAATAATTCTAATAATAATTCAACAACAAAACAAAACAATATAACTGCATGTATATTATTATTATTATTAGTAGTAGTAGTAGTAGTATTAGTATTCACACACAGTTATATTATTCATTTATATTTATATTTATTCAGTTCAAAGCATATTACCATTAGGTGGAGTTTTGACATCTCCCTCATATACCTGACAAAAAATCAGACTGAATTGCTGTTTTTGATTAGCATGTTGGAAAATATCTAATGTTGCATACCTTTGACTGTGTCTTGAGGCTGCATGTGTAGATATTTAAAATCTGGACATGTGCCTAGTACAGAATGTGCAAGAGCAATACAACAAAATAGGGCAATTTCTGTAAATTGTCATCTGATGGATACGTTTATGCCTCAAAGTGGAAGTACAGGTCGATTACATGCAGACTTTTCTAAGATTGTAGCCCTGACTTCTATTGATTTTGTTCTCTGGCAATTAATTTGTCCAGGTCGGACTAGATTGTCACCTTAATATTCCAGGTTCAATAGAAACTCAATCAACAGTCGTTTTGGCATACAGCAATGCCAATTAAAAAAAATAAGGTGAATGGTCAAAGGGGAAAACAAGTGAATGGGCCAGTTTTGGAATTAATAAAAAGCAGAAATGTGACGATTATAATTTTTTAAAAAGCACTTATTAATTTGTATGTTAAAATGTGTGTATTACTTAAGCTGCCAAATCAGTGTTGTGACAGTCATTTTAGGGTTTATGATGCCTTCTTGTCAAATTGGATATGAATTGGATTTTATACAGAAAAAGTTAGCAAATAATTTTTTTCTCACACTAAAATAGAGTCAACGTGCTTTTTTGGGGCTATACTTTTGAAACATTGAGTATTTTGATGTTTACAAATTGTCCCTATTCACTTCCATTGTAACAGCCTCATGTAACCTAGACTTTTGTTTTTTTCGAGAATTGTTTTTTAATCTAATCAAGATACCAATACCAACCAATACTATGCCACAAGTGCTGGCAACTGACCTTAACACGTACTGAACCCAGAAAATTCGTTTAAACAGGGAACCACTGAACACTTATTGTGTGCAGTGTTTACACTCAATTTGAAGTGCTGTAAGTTCAGTTCATAGCAAGTGGTTTGGCCGGGATTCAATCCGTGGCTCATTTCACATGAAGGAACTAGAATCCTTCAAGCTCGATATGTTATACATCACCTCATAACCCTTCTGAGTTTATGCATCGGTTGATGCAGAAAGGGCATATTGATCAAAGAACCAGACTCCAGATGAGAAACAAGCCTGTGGGGTGAGATCACCCTCTTGGCTCCACAGTGTTTAATGTCACTCTATATCTCAGTCTATCAAATCATGGGTAAAAAAACAGAATGGTTCACCTCGGAGTAATGTCATATCAGATCAGTTCCAGCTGCTACGTTTACACAGGAAATTGACTCATGGTGGCCTTATATTGTCCAGGTCATTTTTCACCATAAACATACATAAAAAGAGGAAACAGAATTGTGGCTCATCAGGGTCAATGAGGCAAACCACAAAAAAAAATGTTTTGTTGGTACAGTAACAAAATAGAAGAAGTAGAATTGTTCACTTGCTCCATTTGAAAACATAGTGAACTACCCTTGGATGCTTTAGAGGGTTATGAAGACATCCAGAAATGTAGCCATCTTATTTAAGTCGCAATCGAACATAACTAATTTGAAAAAAATTGCAACATAATGTGCGATAAGATTCCAGAGACAGGCAATTTGTCTGTGCACATGAGACGTGACTCGACTGCAAGACTTGACACAATCAATCAAATACCCCAGCCAATCAAAAGAGTTAGTGGGCGGGCTCTTTCTGCAAACATACTGCGCTCTCAATGAAATGGATAAGAACATTTGAACATTATTACAAATACATACTTTGTGAGTGAGTGAATCTTTGTCATAGAATAGACTTTGTTGTTCACATAGAGTTCACATTTCAAGCATTCATTTCCGTTCGTTTATTTTCAGGATCTGAGGTCTTTTCATAATTGTAGCTTTCAATATGGCTGTAAAGCTCAGGCAAAATGATATTCAAATTCACATTGGACCCTTTTAACATGAAATTAAGCATCCAATCAATACTTGAGATTATCACTGTCTTAGTTTGTATGCTGTTGTTCCAGTCGTGACAACCCAGAATTAAAAACTGTTTCTGAAATAGAATCCTCTAACGCTTATCACATATCATGGCTGATTAGGCCAAAAACTAATTCAAATGTTTTTTATTTGTGCATTAGGGCTGGTTAGGACAAGCTAGCATCACATGGACAGCATTATGTACTGTAGAAGGCATTGTGATAACAGAGGGGGAAAAAATAAATTTAAATTGGCAGATATCATTTTGTGTAGACTGAACAATATAAATAAAACAGCTCTGTAAAATTTCACTTAAATGTGAAATTAGTTTTCGTGTGGAATAATATGCGTTTATCCTTACAATGTCATGCCACTATCTTAGCAACATGCTAACAACAATTTTTCTGCCTATGTAGAGTGTTCTAGATTGTTACTTCCATGATGATGCCTTAAAGGTGCAGTCCCAATTATCATTGTACATACATTTTCATGGGCAAAATTGAGTCGTTTCAGTAAATTGAACATTCCCCCATAGAGATTTTGCAACTTGTAGCGAACGATTTAAAAGTGACTT